AAGCAGGAAGCTAAATAGTTTTTAGTACACAAAAGAGAAATAGGAAAAGATGAGCTACTTCTGAAAATGAATAGGATAAATTATCCTTTTCATGAAAATTTAAAGAAAATACTTTTGTTATACCCATTTTGTTTTAAGTAAAGAAATCTATCAAGGTGAAAAGCTTCTATTTTAATTAAAGATCAACTAACTTAAGTTATATCAGCAGCTACCCCAAATGAAGGTTTTTCTCTTAAATTATGATGAAAAATTCTACTTGCTTATTTTCAACTAGAATCTTAGTATCTGTGATTTTATTCTGATTTGTATCCAATTTGGGTAGAAATGGATATGAGTGTTTATGTTACATAATAGCTTGCCACAGCCTACTACTTGAATCATGTAGCATATGGAAAATGTGTTTAGCTCCTTGTAGAATTTCACAAACCAAAAAGGATTCATTTCTATTCACATGGTTTGTTTACAGTCATTTTAAAAATATGTTACTGTGTTGCTTACTAGTTAGAAAAAGTAAATGTTGTCACACTACAGACTCCATTTCATTGATCTTTAAGAAATTATGTATTGCTTTCCAGTTTAAAAAAAAGCAATAATCATATTTCTTGTTCTTTATACCTAAACATTCTTTTTAAGATGTATTTTTATTCTTCTATTTTATCTCTCTTCTAGATATTTTATAGTAGTGATGGTTGAAATTTTATATGCATATATTAGAGACTGAGCTCATGCTTAAATGAATTGTCATTGAGGGATTAATCCTGTAACCTTTATGAGCATGTTTTATTAATATTATCTGATCACTAAATAGAATATTAATAATATTAATAACATTTAACATTTAATAACCATAGAATGTTAGATAGGAATGTATTTCATGCCAGTGGGTTTTGAAAATGTAGAAAAGTCACTATAGCTTCCTGAAAATCATTAAACATGTTCCCCATAATATTTTAATAACACTATTACAATTCATTTAAGGGGCAGTCCTGGATAACAAAGATTATATTTTTATTTGTCAGCTTGCTGAGCAATATGCCCTCAGGGAATGGAAGTATTTGGTACAGCTTTTGAAAATGTCTATTGCACTCTTAAATTCTAGAAATATATTTGCTATGAAATGATTTATAATTAGACATGAAACAGATCAAGTGGAGGGGGAGAATTCAAAATTATAAATATTGTTAAAGATGATTTAATATAGTTACTATACTAATTTAGTTATTCTTATTGGTAAATTGGTTGTCTAAAAGGGATATTTTTTAAAAGATTGAATAATGAAATATATATTTTAAACATTTTTTACCTTCAAAGTACTTTAATTACTAAACCATTTTTTCCATAATTACATATATTTGATTATATGGTTCACTATGAATTTAAACATGTTTGATCGGTATCCTGACACTAAAAACCAACTCCCCACCTTTTTTTTAAATGAAAATTAGGAAAGATGATGTTAACATGAAAAAAGTAAATTTTGTGTAGGTACAGTCATGTAGGAGAGAATACATGCAACTATTTGAGGTAGCTTTCTCTCCTTTTGGGAAAATTCTATGGTTGTGTCAAGCTTTCACTGTATTATTTGGTTTCTTTCATATTTTCCTTTTTAATGATATAAAACTAATATTTAGAGAAACTCCCATGACTTATTTTAAGTCATTTTGATATAATCAAAACAACTTTTACACATAAACACATATATACATATGTATATGTACATAGATATAGAATTGCTTATTTGATTATGTTAGCATGTTTGAATGGCTTCTGAAAATCTCTTTAATTTTATGAATAATGTGAGAATAGCAGAAAGGAAATCTCTATTTTGAAGAGTGTTCTACTTCTGGAAGTAGATTTAATTTTTTCTCAGAGTACAGCTGATGGCCAGAGCATTACTTATGACCCACTTACCACTCCATTTGGAGTACTTTTTTTTCCCCCTTCCATATCCAGGAAATATATATTTCTTAATGTAAAGTGTATAGCTGAATTCAAGAACATTTGCAACCTGGAGAGTATCTTTCTTTCATTGCTCTATTTAATTCATGCAATGCCAGGTTTACTCATAGGCACAAAGATCAATGATATTGGAATATTGGGGATAGTTCCCTTTTAAAATAAACTGTTTTTGGGGGGGGCAAAAATCAATGAAATCACCTCTAAGTTTAAGGATCTTGCACCTTACTGACACTCACCATGTACCCATTGTCAAATGAATTTTTTAAGACATGTCTGTTGTTCTTAAATTAGTCATTGCTTATAATGCAAAATACCCTGAAATTATGTAATTTACACTGGTATTATCAAGGATCTACTAAGTTCCCAACACTAAACTAAGCCTGATAAAAGTTTAAATAAATTAAATCACCATGATTGAAGACCTCCTCTATTCACATCACTGAATTAGCCGTGATAAGAAAAGTGACATATCTCTCAACCCTGCCTTACATAATGTCATAGCATATCCTTGAAAACATAGGGATCAGGGTCCCACAACAGAGAAGAAAATACACTGGAAAGATGAAGTGAATTTCATCAGTTAACAGCTGGGAATGTAAGGAAAACAGATGACTTACAGGGTGCTGGCATGTGTGATTAGTAGACTCCAGGGCCCTTTCACCACCAGAGGACAGATAGAGATGCTCAGGAGAGCCTGAGGCAAAAGAGCCTTGATGAGATAGAAACAGATGACCTAAAACTCCATATAAAACTGAGGATAGTGCTAGGGAAAAGTATAAATCAATGAAATCGTATATTGTGGCCCTTACTCCATCTTCTGAAACTTCACTATCACTGTGCAACTCCCATCTTTGTGACCTTTCACCTGGGCCAAGTCATTCTCCAGACTTTATTTTACAACCAATCAATTATTCCAAAACAAAATCTATAACCGTTCTCTCTCATTTAAAACCTTTCTCTGGTTTCTCTGGTTTCGTATTGTCCATAAGAAAAAGTATAATCTCCTTAGCTTGGTATGGGAGGGCCTGTGTGACGTGACCATGGATTGCTCTCCTGGGTCATCTATACCTGACCAGTTTTGCCTCGCACTCTGGTTATGAAGAAACACTGACATTGATCCACTGAGAACACCAAGTTGTTTCATAAATTCAAACCTTCACAGACGCTATTCTTCCTATGTGGGATGCTGTCTCTACTTTCTAGCTTCTTTCCTTCCCCAAACATTTGTAACTTTTAATTCCCATTATCCTTCATGATGAAATTCAAATATTCTCCATTATGAACTTTTTTCTGACCTTTCCCAGTGGCAAATTTTTATCTGTTATCACCAGACTTTACATTTCTAATATGACAATTAGACAACTGTATTTGACTTATGTATCTGTCTCTTTTATTAAGTCATGGAATCTCAGCTATTTCAGCTAATTTGGGTTGGAAAAAAGTCAAATAATGAAATAATCCATATGTTTCTGCCAAAATGCACCTCCTTCTATCTATCAACGAATAAAAGTAACCTCATTAAATTTGCCCAAGGCCAAATTCCTCTTTCTTAGGAATTTGGATAAATTTCAGGACATCATCTTATTACGCATTCCACACTTATGAGAAGACGATATTCTAAATATTAAATATGTACAAAAGAATAAAGAATAGTACAGTGAATCCCATTATTCAATTTTAACAATTATTAGCTAATGATCAATCTTGCTCCACTACTCTGTCCATAGCTCCACTCTCCTTGTCCTCCCAAATACTTTGAAGCAAATCCCTGACGTGATAACCTTTCATTTACAAATATTACTGTATGCATTTCTAGAAGGTAAAAACACTTTCTGAAAATGTACTGGTACCATGATCACACCTAAAACATAAACAATTCCATAATATTAACAGATCTTCAATTAGTATTCAATTTTGCACAACTTCTCATTTTTTAAAGAGTTTGAATAAAGACCTAGTAAAACCTATACTTTGTGATTGGTTGATATGTTTCGTCCAGTCTAAAGCCATATTTCTTAATTGAGGGCAATTTTGCCCTGTAATAGACAATTTTGACAGTCTGAAGAAATTTATGGTTCTTATAACTGTGATAGACTAAATGTTTGTATTCTCCTAAAATACATATGATAAAACCCTAATCCCAATGTGATGGTATTTGGAGGTGGAGCCTTTGGAAGTGTATGGGCCCTCATGATGGGTAATACCTTTAGAAAAAGAGAAAACACAGGAGAGCTCTCTCTCTCTCTCTCTCTCTCTCTCTCTCTCTCTCTCTCTGAATGTACCAAGGAAGGCCATGTGAGGCAATAATGAGGAAGAGTCCTCTCGCCAAGATCCCTGGTGATCAGGACTATGCTGGGACCCTGGTCTCGAATTTCTAGCATTTTGAACTGTGAAAAATAAATATCTGTTGTTTAAGTTACCCAGTCTATGATATTCTGTTATAGCAGCCCAAAGTGATTGAACACAATTAAAGGAGGGGTGCTACTGGTATCTAGTAGAAGCCAGAGATACTGCTAAATACCCTACAATTCACAGGACAGCTGCCATAATAAAGGATTATCCAACCCCAAATGTCAGTAGCACAAGGATAAGAAATCCTGGTCTAGAGGTTCCCCCTTCACCTATTTTTTTTTTATTGTAATGTGTTTGTTGAATAAAGTGGATCCTGTGTCCTATAGCATTTCCCACAGTCTGTATTTTGTGGACGATGCACTCTGGTATCTTATCATTTACATATGTCTCTGTTGCTTGTATTTATTAGCAATTAGATTTAGAAGCTTTATAAGATTTCTTCCTTTTTTTTTAGCAAAAATTTTTTGCTAAAGTAGTTAGGAGGCACATAATGTCTGGTTATCTCTCTCATCACTATGGGAAACTTTTGATGATCAATGTCTACATCATATTTTATTAGAGGTTGAAAAATGGTATTCTAATTTTATAACTCCATCTATTACAAACATCACTGGAAATAGTCATTCCAATGTTTGATATGAAAATGGCATTGTTCATAAACCATTTACACATTTCATATTCCTTTTTAGAAACATCCTGTATCACCTTGATGAGAAGACAAGCCAGTTCTCAATACTCCTGGAGGCCTGGGAGCACTGCAAGTCACTTACATCCAATGAGACCCTTCAAGAAGCCTTGTCAGAGGTGTTGCACAGCATTAATTCAGCTCAGGTTTACTTCAAAGCAGGACTTGATGTGTTCGAGAGTGTCTTGGTTGGAAAGAACTGAGAAAACTCTCAGCATTTTAAGAAGTTTGTTTACAATTCCTCAAGCAAAAGCTCTAATCCAACCAGATTTTCAGACATCGAAGACTTTTTCCCCCAATGGCTTTTTATATAAATCTAAAACTATGATATCACATTGTATTTTTTAATGGACATATAGACAGAGCATTTTGCACATGTAATATTTTCTTATATCTGCATTTCTGAATATGTAAAAGCAAGTTATTGAAATAATGCTTAAGATTTATCTATTAAAAAGAAATCTGCTGTATTTTTATATATATAAAATATTTGGGGGAAAGTTCCAAGAAGTTTTGGACAATCTTTGCTCCTATGGATAAAATACATAGGAACAGAAGTTGTTCCCTATCTTAGAGCTATTAATGACCTAGTTTCTGTAATAGAAATGGAGAGTTGATATGGTTTCAGATTAACTTCACTATTAACTATTCAATATGAAGAATTCAAGTATTCTGACTGAACAATTGGTTGACCAAAACCACTTTGAATGTTTCTTTTTTATGAAATGAAGTGCCTGTTCATAACACAACTAGATGTAGTAATACACTGGTTATGAAATTGTATTTTTTTAAGTATTAATGAAAAAAGAGCCATAAACATTCCAGGGAAATATCTCAAGGTAGCTGTATAGAGCAATTTAAATGCAATTTTTTTTTCCTAACAACTTATGAGGTGACTAGCTTTGAAACCTCTAATTTGCTTCAGTTGATTTTGTAAAAGTTTCAGAAGTGATATATGTTTTATGAGGGAGAAAATATTTCCTATTTCTTCGAGTGTTGTTTCTTTTGGAAGCACTGAAACAGAGCTACTCTAAAATGAAAGCATCTCACATTGCTCTTCCTTCTTGTATCTTTTCTGAAACTCTTTGCTGTAAGGCACTTTTCACAGAATACCATATAATTTCCACAGGAAAGTAGCAAAGTTTTTTCTTTGAAAACCCCAAATGTCTTAAAAAGCAGTAAATTGCTACTTCTGCCACTGACAAAAAGGACTTCCTATGAAAGAAATAGTTGTTTTATTCAATAAAAAAAAAGCTTCTTAATTCTATGGGGAAACTTTTGATATTTTTTTCCTTCTTTATTCATAATTGTGACTAAGATGAAAATGTAGATAATATTCACATTCTAAATTTCATGCAGATAAGATAGTGTTACTATAAGAACATTTCTTTCCCACACTTCAATTCTTCTTTCATGAGGAAATGGAAACATTTCATACTGACATTGTCATTGAATGGTCCTGGCATTCCTTATTCCTGGAAACCCAATAATTCTGTTAGGTGACAGTTTAAACTTTTAGCTTGCCCTTAGAAATTGATTTGATATCTTTTTTTCTAATAGTGGATAAAGCAAATCCCCTTAGGCAATGTATCTTCAGAATATTTCACGTGATTTTTTTCCTCTGCTCAACATGACATTCAAACACTTCTCTATGATATACCTCCAGAGCAACTTACAGACAGCTCCTTGTATGTCTAAGTCTTTGCTTTTCATCATGGGTGAGCATGAACCTAATCTTAGCTTAAAGGAACTTAAAGTTGAGGGGAAGGAATTAATCAGTATTGACTGATTGATTCATAAGGGCCAGATGGTCTTACCATAAATTTGTATGCTCAAAGCAAAGAAGAAAATTGAGGAAATTAGCTGGATAATTCGAGCAGAAATCCATTTTCACCTGAATTGCTTGTGTGCACATATTTTTACATGATAAATGAAACTACCTTACTTTTTCTTCTTCTTCTTCTTTTTCTCCTTGTAACCAATATAGTTGTGTGTTTGAACGCATTTGCCATGTTGAGCAGTGTCTATAGAGAAGAGCTAAGAAGACCAGGCTCCTGCATACCTCAGCTTTAGCAAGAAAGAGGTGGGAATACACATACAGACATGTGTTGGACAAAGAATAGAATACCTTTTACCAAAGGATCTTAAATATTTAATCAGGCTTTAATGTGTTAATTCCATTTTTTTTTCACTTTGAGTTGAAGTTAAAGCAAAGATAAATAAGTATCAGTTTGGTAGTTTATCATTTTAGAACAAAATTCTAGTTAAATTCACTCCTTTTGTCTGTAAGAGCTTTGAAAGCACAAAATATTTTTGTTTGTACATTTTTGTTTAATGATTGTGTACCTAGGGAAACCACATGCACAAATTAAAACCTCAGTACTGTGTATTGTTCACTTCTAAATTACATGGTATTTGATATTTGAAAACTGAAGTTAACTGTGGACTAACATGTTTTTATTAGTCTATTGAAGAGATTATGTGAAGCAACTAATAATGTCCACCAGCTCTATGGATGCAGTTTTACATCTTTGACTGCAACAAACCTCTTAACTAGGAATATTACTGCTATGGTCTCATTATCTCAGGGTTCCTCCAAATTTATATGATTAATTTTTTCCCCAATAGAGCTAAGTAAATAAAATACTATGCAAGTTAATAACAAGTGTTTTGGGTGAAGTAGTAGTAGGTTTCAATTGTTGCTGAGATATCTTGAGTGTCTGATAATTCTCATAATCCTTTATACATAGAACTGTGTCAAGACATAATAAATCATAAATGTCTATTCTGCCAAGAAAATGTGGCAAAGGCATACCACCGGTACTCGGGTTCAGGAAAGTTACACATGGGATGCTTCCCTTTGTGAAAAAGCATAGATTCTGGAGTCAAAAGGAAGCCTAAGAGACATCCTGATCTAAGCCCTGGGATGTTACCTTCAGCCAGGGTAAGCATCATCACCTCCATCAGATAACTGAATGGAGCAGTAACTGAAGCCAAAGTGATTAAGAGACTTGGCTATGGTCACATATCTGAGTAGCAGCAAAAGAACTACTGGAATTTAAGCTTCTCTGCTTTCTCAAGCAGTAAATCCAGCTCTCTCCCTGAGGTGTTATGGTTATAAATAATCTTTTTCAGTACATCCTATGCAACCATCCATTCTATCAAATGCTGTATGGGCTGGAATCACTGCTTTAGTTAAGGACTAACTCATTCTCTGACTGGTTACATTCTCTGTACCTGACCAACAAACCTGTGCCAGGGAATCCAGGCAAAGGACTGGGTGCTTGGGGGCAGGGGGAGTGGGGAGAGTTTCTCCATGAGACCACAGGTCAGCAAGGAAGACATTGAGTTAAATGCTTTTATGAGAGTATTTTTAAATGCAGTATTAAATCAGCAATCTGAATCAATTTTTCTCAAATGTGGATTTGGGGAGTAAGGCCTAGGGATCTTCATCTTCAGGAAGATTCCCCAGATGACCATTATAAACACTGAAGTTTAAGAATTTCTAACATATACCCAGGTCCTAAGAAAACGTCACTTGACAGTATATAGTTTTAAAATAATTGAAGAGTCACAGAAACAAGAGGTACCTAAAGCTTTGCTATTAATAGCACCATAAAGAGAGAGAGAGAGAGAGAGAGAGAGAGAGAGAGAGAGAGAGAGAGAGAGAGAGGGAATGAGAGAGAGAGAATAACCATTGTATTTCTCTAAGAAAGGATGCAGATAGTGCTAATATCTGTGCCTGCTACATGTCAGGCATTGTTCTAGACTTTTGCACATATTTGTTTTTACTAATTGAAACCCCACAACAATCTATTTTTTTTTTTAAAAAGGAGGAAACTTGGTTAAGTGAGTTGTCCAAAGTTCTACAGCTAATAAAAATGGTTGAAGTATATTTCTCTGCTGGGCCTTCTGGTATCAAGTCCTATGCACTTCACACTGAGTGCTGCAGAAAACATCAGAAAAATTGTTTAGTTATAGGAAGTGATACAATTGACAATTTAATGTATTTCTGCATAACTGATCGGACTGTGAAGTCTGACGCTTCACTGGTAATGAAGGAGCTTGAAAAAACAAATCGCATCATTCCTTATGATGGTAGCCCACTTACGCCAACAATGGCGTACATATGTGCATAAATTAGAAGATATCTATACGGGCACTAAAAATAAATCTACCATTGTTGAATATCATGACAACTAGATGTAAAATAGTAAAAAGAGAACAGAAGCCCCATGTCACATGATTTCCTCTTCAAAGTGCCTATATAGTTTCACTGAAAAAAAAAGAAAAAGTAGGTGCTGGGATTGACAACCACAGTATTATATCATCCTCAAAAACTCTGAAGAGCTAATTGACATTTTGAATTAAATAGATGTATACAGAGAGCATACAGTAGGTTTCCTCATTGGAAAGATAAATGTTACAAAAATAAATGGTGATTTATCATCTGCCTAATCATGAGTCAGCATCTTTGACTCAAATGAAAAACTATAATAAATAAATTGGTAGACATAGTGAAAAATGTTCTCATGTGACATTCTGTAGTATGTGTAATGTGCAATTGCTACAAAAATTAAGTTTTGTCTGAGGGTAGCACATTGTCGTCTATTTGATTTAATAGGTTATTTAAGTGTGTTTTAGTCACGCATTCTCTTTTTATTAAATTTATTGGAGTGACATTTTAGTAAAATTATATACTTGTAGGTTTCAAGTGTACAATTCTATGCACATCATCTATATATTGCTTTGTGTGTCCATTACCCAGAGTCAGTTTTCCTTCCATCACCATATATTTGACTCCCTTTTCCCTTTTCTACCAGCCTCCTTCCCTCCTTACCCTCTGGTAACCACTAAACTATTGTCTGTGTCTGTGAGTTTTTGTTTGTCTTATTTGTTTGTTGCTTCAGTTTTATATCCCACATGTAAGTGAAATCATATGGTTATCGTTTTCTGTCTGACTTATTTTGCTTAGCATGACGATCTCAAAATTCATCCATGTCCTTAATAGAATGGAATTATTTTAAACTGCCAATCCATGTGTTGATCAGATGCCAAATGGGTCCACACATTCCAATAAATATATCAACAGGATAGTTCCACCATAGGAGTACAGAGGCAACTCAGTGGATGAAAACAAGCAATGTGATATTTGAGAAAAATATTCTGCCTAGCTGCACTGGTGAATCTATATTTCTTCCATGAGTTTAAATTGCTAGCTTAAAAAAGCCTCATTAGAATCTGTTATTTTGAAAGATTAAAAAAAATGTTTTCACAGAGTTCTAAGCACTCTATTGAGTGCAAATATTTTTCTGTTAAGTCAGTTCTTTGCAATTCAAAATTTCAAGTGACATGAATTTAAAAGAACAGTTGCAAAGAAAAAAATTTTTTTTGAAATCTAACCTTTTTTGGTCATGCCCATGTCCACTCAATTTTCTGTTTTTTCTTACTAGATATACCTTAGCAATGGGATTAGAGTTTATTTCATGTTTTGTTTGTTTGTTTTTGTTTTTGTTTTTACCCTGACAGAGTAATTTTGAGATCTATTCATATCAATATGCATTTCTCTGTAAATCAGTCAGTGTCTTATTTCCATAATACCTTTTCATTATCCATCAAAGATGTGCACTAAAGTGCCTTTAGCACACGTGGGACTGCCAAGAATCTAGAGGCCTTGCTTGTTGTGAGGTGATGTACTTCTTAATGACGCCTATAATCTCATAGATTGTATCTGAATTTACAAAGCAAATGATTAAATGGAGGCACTTTTAGGTAGCATTCAAGAAAAAGAAGCTGCTTCAATTTTAATATGTCTCTGGGTAGATTATTTTCTGTTTGAAGTATATAGTTATATCGTTTTCTTTAATCAAAATCCTAATTTTGATTTTTTTTTGCAAAAATTCAATTATTGAAACCAAAGAAATTCATGACCACACTACTTTCATAAGCAGCAATCTGTCAAGAATTAACTCAGGAGCACTTGATGCAGTGCCTACATCTAGAGTCTTTCTAGACAAAGCTTTAATGAGTGTAGATAGAGCCTAACAGTATTGTGTCTAATTCCTTTGATGTCTTAAGCCAATAAACACTGAGGCAGCTTTTCTCAGAGGGAGACAGATTTTATTTTCCAAGGGCTAATTAATATGTACCACCTCAGTCCTCAAAGGACCACACAGGTGCCTGTACTACGCCATATGTCATGTGCTACATTCCAGCAAGCTCAAGAGATTAATATACAATCATTATTATGAATTATTATGTTGCATTGAAGTTAATGTCGGTCTTTTGTTCTAATTAAAGTATAAACTTGGCATGTGAATAGAAGCTGAGCTAGAGAAGTGGAGTTAGAGTCTCTATTTTAATGAACTACATATATTTTTCAATCAAACTGTGTAATTATTTAATTATCTAGACTGCTCAGTGAGTATAACACTCCAACTTCTTCCAAGAATCTTTATTCAATATGTTACAATACAGATCAACACTACTTGGAGTGTGTTTTCTCTTTTGAAATTCTTATCCATTGGTGAATCATGCTTTCAGTATATGCCGTAGTGTTTTATTAATATTAATAATAGTTATTTGTTTACCTTTATATCAAGCTGCTGCAAATGGACTACCTTACTCTGAAAGTAAAAAAAAAATGCTATTACTCTATAAAGATAATTTTATCATATCTGTTTAACAAGAAATAAACAAACAAATACAGTATTTTTCCTACACCATCGCACATTGTCTGCAGGAAAGAAAATGTCCAGGTGGCTAAGTGTAGCCCATGTGATTATACTTCCAAGATGTTATAAATTATTCCATTTAGAAGCTGAGATAGGACTCTGTTAAGTTATTTAGTATTTACATTTCACACAGAAAGGTTTAATGGCAGATATATCCCACAAGTTCTTACTTGCTACTTGGAGAATATGAATAGAATTGTGTTCCGAAAGAAAAATACTTTTCTAGGTCATTTTGAAGGGCTAATTTGTTTTTAAAGACATCTAGAAAAATCAACACATAATTTTAATAATAGTTTCATGTATATGTTTGGGATGTTAATATATACCATGCATTTTTTAAAATCACACCTGCAGTATACCAATGTTTAGTTATATAAAATTATATAATAAATAAAATTTCTTCATTGTATAACAATAAAAAAGACAGCCATAAAATAAATTATGGTGATGATCAGGAGATATATAAATTAACTTGGGGTAAAATTTGGAGGGCAATCTCACCAATTAAATTTGCTTTGATTAAAACCAAATATTTCTCAAGTGTGTCCCAATGACTAAATTACACTGAACTGTTATAGTGTTGAATATTGTTCAAAATAATTTGATTATCATCTGTGATTTGGAAATCTTTATTGTAAAAATATTTTCATGGTCATTGTCTCTGTTGTGATTGATTTTTAATGACACTGATTTAGAAGCATGTGTCTGTAGTTTTTAAATTACTATATAGAGTTGAATGTCTAATTTCTATAATGTGTGGATGCCCATCAGGAATTTAGTGTATTCTATGTTTAGCTAAGTGTGATCTCAATTTATTTTACAACCTTTTATGTGTTACTCAACTGACACAATATGCAGTGTATTTAGGAAAGTATGTTGTGATTTGGAGTGACAAAATTTGGCCTGGAATACCACATGCGTTAAGAATCTGAGTGAGTATTTTATATTTCACTCAATAGAATATTTTGCACATAATTACAAACATAGTACTATGAAATGAAGGCATGTTTTAAGAAATATGTTCTAATTCTAAATGAGTATGTACAGTGAAATGGTAATGTTTAAAACACCCATTTAAAAATATTAAATACAGGTGAAAATCATTGCTCTACTGTATTTTGTCCTAAGATATATAGTATTTTAAATATGCAAAATGAATGCTATTAGTATGTACAATTAATGAATTATCTTTCTGTAATGTGTATTACACTGAAACAGGAATGAGCCTTGTTCAGGAAACATTTTATAAGGTTTTATCATCTTTCTCTTCTTTGGCTTCCATTTTTTTCTCAAACGTGCAAATCTCTTATTGGGCCATTTAAATCAGCAGTTTGTTTCAAGTTCTACAACAAGTAACAGCATCATATCAACTCCAGTGTTAAGAAGCTTTGTTTCTCAAATTTACTCTAAAAAAATGCTGTCCTTTATTTATTGCACAGAAAGGGATCTTCATTTGCATGATATAGCAGACTTTACTCATTTATTCATTCAGCAAACATTTACTAAGAGCTTACTCTAGGCCGGGTACTGTATTAAGTGCTAGAGATACAAAGATGATTATCACAGTTTTACCTTCTAGGACTCCACAGCTGAATATGATATAACACTTCAACTAGGAATTCCTTAAGCCCCATTAAGACACACAAAAAAAATAGTTTTGTTTTTTCTCCAATTGCCTTGCTGTAAGATAACTAGCAGTTATTGGGAACTTACCATTTCATCAGGTACACACACACACACACACACACACACACACACACACATAAAAGTTTAGAAAAAACAGTCTTCAGAATAATATGTGTTATTCTACACATGAAGTAAAATTAAAACA